CTGCGACATACTGGCCCTTGAAGTTCGGGAAGTTAGTTGCGCAACTATGTGGTATATCAGTTGTAGATGTCAACTTCAGTGACCTGACAAATGGAAAGCTGCTAATCCGCAAAAATGGCTACACTAGAAGAGTTAAATTTAAAATCTTTTAGCCGCACATGAGTAGGGAACATTCCCTTAAAATTAAAGTCTTCAGCTTTTCCCGTCCCAGAGTTAGCTGTTTTCCCATCAAGACTTCCACGTAGCCGTACGTGAGCACCGGATGGTTTAAGAAGTTGAATTTGAAATCTTTTGGTCATACATGAGTAGGGAACATTCCCCCAAAGTTTCAGCGTTCTAGCTTTTCCCGTTTCCGGGCAAATTCCACGCCAAAATTTCCACTCGTTCGTACGTGGGCCCCGGGCGCTTCTAAACTCTTGATTTCGGTAGTACGTGAGTAGGAAACATTCCCCCAAAGTTTCCCGTTCCCGGGTTAGTGATTTCAAGCCAAAATTTTCACATGCCCGTATGTAAGCCCGGGCAGTCCTGGGCAGCTGAATTTGAAATCGTTTTGTCATACACGCGTAGAGAACATTCCCCCAAGGTTTCAGCCTCCTAGCTTTTCCCGTTCCCGAGCTATCAGTTCTCCCGCCAAAACTTTCGCGTGCTCGTACCCGGGGCCCAGACGCGCGTGGGAGTTGACACCGCGGTCCTGCGGTGGCACCTGGCTGGGGAACACACTGGCGAAATTTCAGCTTCAACACTTGTGCGGTTAGCTAGTTGAAATACCCGGACAGATGGACAGAAATACACACACACACGCACACATAACCCCTCGACAATATGTATTTTTGCATTGCATAGCTGCAAAGAACGCATAAAAAGTAATTAAAAATAAAGAAATAGAAATGTAGCGCCAAGCAGAAAATTTTGTACAAGGATAAATAATGATTATGGCGATTAAGAAGTGGCAGGATAAAATCTTTTACCTCCAGAAGACCCAAACTTTATTTCGTAGAAACGAATGCTGAGCTGACTGCTCAGCCCCAGAAGATATGTAAAGAATAACAAAAACAATCGATTACGGGCTTCTTCCCATTCGCGAAGAATCCCGCCAACTGTCGGCCCTCCCCTTCGAGTCAACCATATCCCATTAATAATAATAATAATAAGATAACGCTGACCTCAGGGAGTTGGGGAGACCATTAAAGGTCAGCACAAGGTCAATGACTGCTTGTGTTGACCCAAACCAACAACTCAGGCTGGAACGCATCAGGTGGCCGGTGCGATTATGCGTTTTCGCACTTTTCGTGCCCTAGCAAGATCGCGAGGAATCACAGCAGCTAACCCTGCGACATACTGGCCCTCGAAGTTCGGGAAGTTAGTTGCGCAACTATGTGGCATATCAGTTGTAGATGTCAACTTCAGTGACCTGACAAATGGAAAGCTGCTAATCCGCAAAAATGGCTACACTAGAAGAGTAAAATTTAAAATCTTTTAGTTGCACATGAGTAGGGAACATTTCCTTAAAATTAAAGTCTTCAGCTTTTCCCGTTCCAGAGTTAGCTGTTTTCCCATCAAGACTTCCATGTGTCCGTACGTGAGTACCGGATGGTTTAAGTAGTTGAATTTGAAGTCTTTTGGTCATACATGAGCAGGAACATTACCCCAAAGTTTCAGCTTACCAGCTTTTTTCGTTCCAGGGTTAGTGATTTTCGCGCCAAAATTCCCACGCGCTCGTGCGTGAGCTTGGGAGCTTTTTTTTTCACCTGCTTTTGCTTGCACATGAGTAGGAAACATTCCCGAAAGTTTCAGCTTTCTAGCTTTTCCCGTTCCCGGGTTAGTAATTCTCGCGCCAAAATTCCAACGCGCTCGTATGTGGGTCCTGGGCTCTTCTAAACACCTGATTTTGCTCGTACATGAACAGGGAACATTCCCCTAAAGTTCCTACTTTCTAGCTTTTTTCGCCCCCAAGTTAGTAACTTTCGCGCCAAAATTTTCACGTGCCCGTACGTGAGTCCCGGGCGGTCTTAAGGAACTGAGTTTGAAAACTGTTGGTCATACGTGAGTAGGGAACTTTGCACCAAAACTTCAACTTTCTAACTTTTCTCATTCTCGAGTTACGAATTCTCCCGCCATAATTTTCATGTGCCCGTACGTAAGCCCGGGCATCCTGGGCAGCTGAATTTGAAATCTTTTTGTCATACATGCGTAGGGAACATTACCCTAAGGTTTCAGCCTCCTAGCTTTTCTCGTTCCCGAGTTATCAGTTTTCCCGCCAAAACTTTCGCGTGCTCGTACGAGGGACCTAGATGCGCGTGTGAGTTGATACCGTGGTCCTGGGGTGGCACTTGGCCGGGGAACACACTGGCAAAATTTCAGCTTCAAAGCTTGTGCGGTTAGCGAGTTGAAATACCTGGACAGATAGACACACATACACACACGTACGCACACACAACCCCTCGACAATATGCGTTTTTGCATTGCATAGCTGCAACGAACGCATAAAAAAAAATTAAAAATAAAGAAATAGAAAAGAAATGTAGCGCCAAGCAGAAGATTTTGTACAAGGATAAATAATGATTATGATTAAATGCGATGCAGAAGTGACGGGATAAAATCTTTTACCTCCACAAGACCTAAACTTTATTTCATAGAAACGAATGCTGAGCTGACTGCTCAGCTCCACAGGATATGTCAAGAACAACAAAAACAATCAATTACGGGCTTCTTCCCATTCGCGAAGAATCCCGCCAACTGTCGGCCCTCCCCCTCGGGTCAACCATACTCTATTAATAATCAATAATGACGCTGACCTCAGGGAGTTGGGGGGGACCATAAAAGGTCAGCACAAGGTCAATGACTGCTTGTTGACCCAAACCAACAACAACCCAGGCTGGAACGCACCAAGCGGGCCGATGCGATTATGCGTTTTTGCACTTTTCGTGCCGTAGCAAGATCGCGAGGAATCACAGTAGCTAACCCCGTGACATACTGGCCCTCGAAGTTCGGGAAGTTAATTGTGCAGCTATGTCGTATGTCAGTTGAAGATGTCGACTTCAGTGACCCGACAAATGGAAAGTTTCTGGTCCGCAAAAATGGCTACACTAGAAGAGTTAAATTTAAAATCTTTTAGTTGCACATGAGTAGGGAACATTCCCTTAAAATTAAAGCCTTCGGCTTTTCCCGTTCCCGAATTAGCAGTTTTTCCATCAAGATTTTTACGTGTCCGTACGTGAGTACCGAATGGCTTTAAGGAGTTGAATTTGAAATCTTTTAGTCATGAGTAAGGAACATTACATTAAAGTTTCAGTTTTCCAACTTTTTTCGTTCCAGGGTTAGTGATTTTCGCGCCAGAATTTCCATGCGCTCGTGCGTGAGCTTGGGAGCTTCTAAACACCTGATTTTGCTTGCACATGAGTAGAAAACATTCCCGGAAATTTCAGCTTTCTAGCTTTTCCCGTTCCCGGGTTAGTAATTCTCGCGCCAAAATCTCCACGCGTTCGTATGTGGGTCTCGAGCTATTCTAAACATCTGATTTTGCTCGTACATGAACAGGGAACATTCCTCTAAAGTTTCAGCTTTCTAGCTTTTTTCGTCCCGGGTTAGTAACTTTCGCGTCAAAACCTTCACGTGCCCGTACGTGAGCCCCGGGCGGTCCTAAGGAGCTGAGTTTGAAAAGTTTTGGTCGCGCATGAGTAAGGAACAATCCCCCAAAGTTTCAACCTCCTAACTTTTACCATTCCCGAGTTATGAATTTTCCCGCCATAATTTTTACGTGCCCGTACGTAGGCCCCGGGCAGTCCTGGGCAGCTGAATTTGAAATCTTTTTGTCGTACACGCGTAGAGGACATTACCCTAAAGTTTCAGCTTCCTAGCTTTTCTTGTTTACGAGTTATCAATTTTTCCGCCAAAACTTTCGTGTGCTCGTACGCAGGGCGCAGACGCGCGTGGGAGTTGATACCGCGGTCCTGGGGTGGCAATTGGCTGGAGAACACACAGGCAAAATTTCAGCTTCAAAGCTTGCGTGGTTGGCGATTTGAAATACTCGGACAGACGAACCCGGACAGACGAACACACACACATAGCACACACACGCGCACACACTGACAGGGCCGTTGCAATATGCGTTTTTGCTGCCTGTTGGAGCGCTCTAGCGCTGCACGGTAAAAACGCATTAAAACAACAAATCCCTGCGTGCAGCGATAGATGCGTTAGTGCGGGGGCATATCATGGAGTCTTGTTCGCTATCAGCTCAGCAGAAAAAAGAATCATCACTTTTCAGAGAGCAACTGCTGTTTGCATTTGTTATTTCAAAGCATTTCGACCTTTCACATAGAGCAGATACGAAGACAGTTTTGACTTTCATAAAACAACGACTAACTGGTCAGCGCACCAAATGCCAGTGCGAACATGCGTTTTTTGGTTACCCGCAGGATTTTGACGCTAACGGTGCTGCTTTTTCCCACAGATGCTTCTAGCCAAAAGAACTGAGGCTGGCCTCTAAAAGGCTTGAGAATATCAGAAAGCATTCCTTTAAAATTTCAGCTTTCTAGCTTTTCTGGTTCCCAAGCTAGTAAGTAACTCGCTAAAAAATTTTCATGGGTTCGTACGTAAGAACCACACACCTGAGGCTCGGTTTAAACTCATTAAGTCCTACAGGACGAGGAATATCCTCTTAAAATTCGAACTTTCTAGCTTTTCAGGTTGTCGAGTTAACAGCTCACTCGACAAAAATTTTCACAGGCCCCTACGTGACAGTCATGTGGGCAAGAGCGCCCATTTTGGGGATATGGACCAGTACATGCATGTGATTTAGTTTCCAAAGATTTAGCCTTGTATTTTTTGTAGGTCTCGAAATGAAAAATTGGTACAGACGGACAGAAAGACACACGTACACACAGACAACCCCTTGACAGTATGAATTTTTGCATTGCATAGATTTAAAAGAAAACGCATAAAAATCACCTCATTAAAAAAGAAATGAATTGTATAAACATTAAGTTTGAAAGAAAGCGTTTTCAAGAATGATATGTAATAGGCCATGATTTCCTCGTTATCGAAATTGAAACGATGAGTGATAATTGAATTGACATGGTTATTGCTTAGCAAATAATCTAAAAAAAATGGATTTATTTGAAAAGCGGATAAAGTAGTCCAGCAAATGCTACACGTTAAATCCGCTTATTCCATGTGAATCCAAATGAAAAGGCGAGATTTTGATAAGAAATTTTACGAACAAAAACTAATAGCAAATTCCACAGAAGATTCA